TGATTTCCGCCAGTCTGCTCTCTCTCATGCATTTGCCTCGTCTGTATATTTCGTATCAGTGCCATCACCCCGTGTGTGACCTTTGTGTCTGGCTTCTTTCACTCAGCGGAGTGTTCTCAGGTCCATCCGTCCTGTAGCCTGTGTCCACACTCCATTCTTTTTCATGGCTGATTAATATAACATCATATGTTTATACCACAAATTGTTTATAGTCATCATTGATGGGCATTTGGGTTGCTTCCACCGTAGGCCTCTTATAAGTGTGCTGCTGTGAACGTGCGTGTGCACGCATTTGTTTGAGTACCTGTTTTCAATTACTTGGGGTGCTGGAAAGCTCTTTTCACCATCCCCCTACTCTTAATTTGAATTACCAGAGGGTAGTCAGGGAAGGTTCCCAGAGGAAGTGGCTTCTAAGTGGAACCTTCCCTAACTTCCTAGGCCTGCACCCTGGACCCCTGCCCTCCTCACCCCCCAGCACCCATGCTTGGAGCCTGGCACCTGGTAACAATCGCTAGCACACCTCCTACACCAGCCCGTGTGCTGGTCACGGGGCCCCTTATCCTGTATCTCAGGTAATTTTACACAACTCTTGAGGGGATGGGAACTATTGTCCCAGTTTTACTGATGGAGAAAATGAAAGCAGGTGACTTGCCATGGCCACACAGCTCCAAGGGGATGGGGAGCCAGGAGCTGAACTAGAGCTGTCTGATTCCAGAGCTCCTGTTGGTAACTTCTTGTTCTGAAGAAAGGAGGGGATTTGAAGATTAATGCTGTCCCTTGATTGTGTCCCCAACAGGCCACAGACAGGATGGCTGGTGCTGAGAGGAGCCAGCAGTGACTCTGATGCCCTGAGTGGCAGCTCCATGTCCTGAAGATGAAGTGGCCCAGGTGAAGAGCAGGCCAGGCCCAATGGCCAGCTCGGGGACAGAGGTCCACTGGGCCGAGCCAGGCCTGGGGCAGGGGCCCCAGCGGCGGCGCTGGACCTGGGCCGAGGATGAAAAGCATGCTATTGAGAGCTGCCCACACAGCTGGGGAGAAGACGGGCCCCTTCCCAATGCCACCAGCCCCGAGCCCCTGGAGGACTTCCGCCTGGCCCAGCAGCGCCTGCAGCCTCTGGAGTGGAGCTCGGAGCTGCAGCCTGACGGGCACCAGGGATCTGAATCAGGAGAGTCTGCGGAAGAAGGTGAGACTCACTCCCCAGCCTCACAGTGGTGTCCCCCAAACATCCTACCTTCTGGCGGGAGGCAAATAGTGGGAGGGAGATTTAGGAAATTTTTAATTGAAATTTATGAAGTCTATAATTTAAAAATGTTAAAGATTTAAATTACATAAGTAATGCTATTTATTGCAAAAAAAATCAGAAAACATAAGCAAAAAGAGGAAAAACTAAAAAAGATATCTAGGTAACTCTTTCCCATATGTATATATACAAATCCAATATGACTGTGGAACAGTATTTTGCAAACTATATTATAACCTGCTTTTTTGTAACTTAATAGATATGAACATTTTTCCAACTCATCAAATATTCTTCCACAAGTCATTCCTGGTGGCTGACTAGGAATTCCATGATGTGGATATTCTGAAATTTGCTGAGCCAATCTCTTGCTGCTGGGCATTTAGGTAGTTGCTAGTTGATGCTGTTAAAAGTAATGCAGAGATAGATGTCATTGGCATATTTTTGCGCATTGATTTGATAATAACCTTGATAATTGAAATTATCTGGTCCAGGGGTTTTGCCCATTTTTAAGATTTTATAAAACCCCATTTAGTAGTGAGAATGTTGACATCCCTTGTTTTCTAAAATAACTGTTCCCTTTGCATTGAAACCAACTTCCTAGTTTGGCTTGGCAAGTCACTTCTCTCTGAATCCTGGTTTCTCCATCTGTGAAATGGGGGTAATAATGCCACTGGGAATAGTAAGAGCTTGATGCATGGTGCCTGTTGCACTTAGAGTATGAATGAAATACCCCTGTCTTAGGATTCTGCCAATCAGGCACACCCCCATGGATGGCAGAGGAGCCGTTAGGCTGGTCATGGATTTTTTGTGCCATGACCCAGAGTTCCTCATGCTGGATCTGCCCAGAGCTGTCTTCTCAGGGGATGCTCCCTCTGAGCTCTTCCTCAGGGGATGGTGACTGGGATGCACTGGGAGGGAAGGGCAGAGGCATCTCTTCCTGAGGTCACATGGTAACACCCTGCTATGATGTAACAGCTGCCATGTCCTGTATCCTTACTGTGTGCCCAGTGCAGGGCTAGGCACAGCCCAGGATTTGTCTCCTTCCCTCCAGGTAGGAGGGACTGGCCTCTAGTCTGAGTATGGGCTGCCAGAGAGGTCAGCTATTTGCCCATGGCCCCCTGGGAGGGATTAGAGGGGCCAGGATCGAACCCGGGGCCTCCCTGGCTCTAAAGTCCACTCTCTTCTTCTCACTGCATGAACCCCAGTGGCAGAAACTAACTTGCCTGCATGGCTGGGACCTGGGTTTTAGATCTAGGTCTGCTATGAACTACTGTGTGATCTTTGGCAAGGTGCTTAACCTCTCTGGACTTTGAGTGTTCTGTTGTAAACAAGAGAGACTTGCTGAAGGAGAGTTTAAGGAGTTGAAGGATGTAGAGATTCCAAGGGTAGGGAAAGAGCAGAGAGGAGCAGAGAGTGATTCAAGGGGTTATGACAAAAGTGCATCTGGTGCAGAGAGTCTGTGCCTAGCAGTATACAGACTGTGTCTCATGAAGCTTTGGCTCTATCCCAAAGGCTTACGTGAGATCTAGGACAGAGTAGGTGCTCAATAAACACTGACTGCATGGATGATGCATGGATGAATGGATGAATGGGTGGATGGGTAATGGATGGGTGAGTGGCTGAATGAAAACTTTTTAAGGGAGTTTTTGACCCAGTTAGAGAGATGTGAGAAGACTTCCTTGATGAGGTCAAGGTTGAGCTAATGCCTGAAGGATAAATAGGAGTTAACTAGGCCAAGGGAGGGAAAGAGGACCCTGGCATGTGCAGAGACCCTGTGGTGGGAGAGGATGTGGCATGACTAGAGCAGGGAGACACTGAGGGGGACCCTGGAGAGAGATGGATCAGGAGAGATGGGGCAGGAGCAGGGACCTCAGGACAGTATTAAAGGTTCAGCTGTATCCTGGAAGGTATTGATGAGTTTTCAGATGGGAGGTTAGGGTGAGTATTGAGGAAATGATTAGGTGGCTGCTGCAGTGGTCCACGTGAGGGACAATGTTGTCCTGAGGAAAGGTAGCGGTGCTGGACTTCAGAGCAGTGGGTGAGTTTGACAGCTCTGTCAGAGGTGGTGGTGACAGATTGGATTGTGGGATTGAGGGCTGACAGATGACAAAGATGCCTCCCAGGTCTCTGGTTTGTGCAGCTGGATGGGATGATGTTGCCATTTGCTGAGACAGGAAACACGGGGAGGTGGGGGGTAACCAGGTTTGAGGTTTGAGTTTGGAGGACCTTTGAGATAACTGGGGGTGGTTAGGTAAGTACTTAGCCATATGGGTGGGGGCCTGCTGGGAGTCTTGCCATTGCCACATGATGAGGAAATGAAAGCCCCGAGGGGTGAAATGACTTAGGCGACATTCCACAGTGAGTCCAGACCTGACATGTGCTAAGAAATGACCTGTTCTTCCAGAGTTTGAAGCAGAGGATGCGGACAGCCCAGAAAGTTCCAACTTGCCCCTCACCTGGCTCCCCCAGCAGGTTCCTCAGCCGGACATGATTGAAGAGGAGCCAGATGAGGCCACCGGAGATGATGAAGCTGAGGAAGCTGGAGAGAGCTCCCCAAAGTTGGGATATGAGACTGGTCTCTGTTCTGGGGACAATGGAAACACCAGCCCCATGGCTCTGGGGTGGAGTCAGGCCACAGGCTGCTGGGTGGCCTCTGACAAACAAGCCAATGGAGACAAACTTCCAGAACATTCTGAGGTCAACCCAACTATTGACCTCAGCTCTGCAAGGTCCTGGAGCAGTGGGACCGTGAGCCTCGACCACCCTAGCGACAGCCTTGATTCTCCCTGGGAAGGAGAGACCGATGTCCCCCAGCCCACTGCCCTGGCAGAAACTTTACCGCAGAGCCCCAGCCACCACCTCCTAAATCCGGATGATAGAACTGGAGGAAACGTTGCTCTGGCAACGCCCACGGAATTCCAGGACTCCCCAGTCCCCCCAGCCCAGAGCCTCCAGTGTCCTGCAGACAGATGGAGGAGAGAAACGACCAGTCTCTCCTGCCCTCAGCCGGGGGGCCACGCCTGGAAACGGACACGGATATCACCTAATGTGCTCCCTTCACGATTCACTGGCGCGCTCAGCCCCCTGAGTCCCCGGCCTCGGCCAGCCCGGCAGGACAGGCCGTCGCCCAGGCAGGGAGCCACTGTGGCTGGCCACTCATCTTCTGATGCCCCCAAGTATGGCCGGGGGCAGCTGAACTACCCACTCCCTGATTTCTCCAAGGTGGGACCCCGGGTGAGGTTCCCCAGAGATGAGAGTTACCGCCCCCCCAAGGCCAGGAGCCACGGCAAGCAGCCTCAGGACCCTGTCAGACCACTGATCTTCAAGTCACCTGCCGAGATTGTGCGGGAGGTGCTGTTGAGCAGTGATGAAGCCTGCTTGGGAAAGGACCCACCTCCTACCCACCCCATCACCAGGGTACCCCAAGAATTTCAGACACCTGAACAGGCCACCAGGCTGGTCCATCAGCTCCAGGTAAGCTGGACTCATTTCTTTATGCATGTCACCAAGGCACCTGCTGCTGGCCTGGGGGCTGGTAGGGATGGGAAGGCCCTGGCTGGGCCAGGAGCCCCCTGCTGCTGGAAAGGGGGTTGTACCCGGAGCCATGAAGATAGTCCCAAGCCCTTTGCTTAAAAAGAGCAGTGATCGCACTCATGCTGCAAGGATGGTCTTTGTTTGTTTGTTTTAAACTTCTGCTATGAAAAAATTGGAAACATATACAAGAGAGAAAACAATATAATGAGCCCCCATTTCCATCACCCAGCTTCCACCCATGCACCCATCAGCCAGCCCCTGGCCGCCTTTTTCATCAATGGCATCACCCCTTCCCCCACGCACCCTGCCGGAGTACTCGGAAGCAAATTTCAGGCATGAGATCACTGTATTCAAAAACATTTTAGTGCGTACATTGAAAGATAAGGATTCTCCCTTACACATAACCACACTACCATTATCATACCTAAAAGTTAACGCCAATTCCTTAATATGATCCAATATCGTCAGTGTTCAGATCTCTCCATGTGTCTCAGCAATGGCTTGTTTGTTTCAGTGGGTTCAAATTAGGGTCCAAATGCAGCTCATGTATTGAATTTGGCCAGTGTGTCTTTTGAGCCTCTCTCCCCTCCCTCTTTTTCTTTCTTTTTTCTAATTTCTTTCTTTCTTGTAACTTATTTGCTAAGGAACCAGTTCTGTCCTGTAGAGTCTCCTACAGTCTCGACCTGCTGATGTCCCTTCCTATGTCCCTTTGTCCTGCATATTGTCAGTGTAGAGCTGGAGGCTTTTTCGGGTTGTAATCACCTGTTTATTTCCCCTCCACACAGGTAGGGAGTTTTAGGCAAGAGCACATCATGAGTGGTCCCCTCAGGAGACAGGGGATGCCTGATGGCCTGTCAACTGTGCTGTGAGTGGCCACTCATGGCCATTTTATTGCCTTGATCCAGTCCTTCATTTGGGGTGACAAATGGTAGTAGCCTCATGCTATCATTCCTTTGTTTATTTGATGGAAATTTTCTGTAAAGTAAAACTTGCCCTCATCAACTATTTGGTTACCAAGGTCTTGTTCACATGGGAAAGACAGGAGAGATGCTTGATTCTGTTCTTCTAACTGCATTTTCAGAACAATGCATCGCTTCCCTAGCATCCTTCGGAGGTGACCAGTGACGCTTGTTCTTGCTTTCCCACAGTAATGACTTGTTTTAACGAAGCCCTTCAGTTTTGTTTAAGGCAAATAGTGACTCTGAGTAGATGCAACTGTCATTTTCAAGTTTTCTATTCTACCAAGGGGACCCTTGATCATTCATTCATCAGCCATTAAAATGTATTTTTTAAGCACACACTACTTAAGCTGCAAGTAGGGAGATGGGGAAGACAGATGTGGGCCTACCCACAGAGCCCACAGATGGGCACGGGATCTGGATGTGAGTAGTTGTGGTCCTCTGTGATGGGGGTCACTGTGCATCGAGGTACAGCCGCCCAGGGGCCCTCCTCCCTGACTCATTGTCAGGACGGTGGGAGGGCTGCTGGCTGAGTTGCCCTGCTGCCTCTGACACCCCAGAATTTTCCCGTGGGGTTCTGCATTATACATGAGCCAGAAAGGGTCTCTCAGATCCCAACACTGAACTTTTTCACTTTGAGGAACCCAGAAGCCCCTTTGGGGGAGTGGGTTCCCTGTGAGGGGCCTCGCAGCGAGGACCCTAGGCAGGTGACCACTTTGCTGTCCCTCTCCTGCAGGAGGACTACCACAAGCTCCTCACCAAGTATGCCGAGGCAGAGAACACCATCGACCAGCTGCGCTTGGGGGCCAAGGTACCGGCTGGATGGGGTGGAGGTGTGGGCCCTGGCCTCCTGCAGATGACACTTTCCTACAGTCTGCGAGAGGGGCCACTGCCTCCTGGGGATAGTGGAACCCAGTCCTTCCTTTTCTACCACAGAGTTACTCCGTGACCTTGGCCAGCGGTCTCCAGGCCCAATCTCATTTATCATTGATAAGTTTGATGCCCTTGAATCCTAGAATCCAGGGTCCCTATAGATTTTACCAGAGGCTCTCTCCTTCTAGATGAGCTCTGGGTTAAGATCACTTGGGCTTAATTCCTGAATCCATTACTGATCAGCTGTGTGACCTTAAGGGAGTTACTTGGGCTCTCTGAGCCTCAAGGAAGTAGTACAGAATTTCTTCTTAGCCCCTGGTGTTCGTTTCCTGAGCCTGATCCTTCCTGGGTCACAACTCTGCCTTCCTGCTTCCCCACGATTGACTTCAGCCTCTCCCCTCGCCCCCTGACTGAATGCTGAGTGAGTGTGGCGTGTGTAGCAGGGGAGCATGGAGGAGAAATCCACCCACCTGAGTAGAGCTGGCTGCCAGCCTGCCCAGCCCCCACCGCAGCTTGGGGGGAGGCTGTGGGACCTTCCCCTTTTCTGGGGTGAGGCAGGAAGTGAGACCTGCGGCAGCCCCTGTGGTTTCCTGCCTTCCCCTCCCTCCTGTTGCCCCATCAGGTAGCAGTGGAGGAGGGGGTGGGAGCTGAGGTGCAGAGATGCAGACCCTCCGCCTCCCTGGCCTCCTCTCTCTGCACCCTCACTTGGGCCTGCCCCCGCCATGCTCCAGGACCCCTCCGGCCACAGGGCTGCTCTCAGCCATCTAGAAGTGCCCCCTGAAGTGTGGGCGGAAGCAGCCATGATAAGAAAGCGGAAGGGGCCCTGTCCTGGGAGCAGTTCTCTGGTCCCCACACGGGCCTCCTTGGATGCATCTGTAAAAGGGGGTTAATCAGACCTTCCTCTGGGAAGCCAGTGGGCTCTACCCGGTAACTTAAGCCCCCTTACGGCTCTGAACTGCTGAGCTGGATTCAGGGGTGTCGGGAGGACAGTAGAGGGGCTGGGTGAGGCACCCTCTTCCAGGAAACCACATTTTCATGACTACAGACCCCTGGAAAGTTCTGGGGAAAGGAACTACCATCAAGTCCAAGCCCTCAACTCCCTGTTGTACAGATTGGGGAACTGGGACCCCAGGAGAGGCAGAGGCTGCCAGAGGTCATGGTCAGGGGCAGAGGCTCAGGCATCTCCTTCCTTCCTCACTTCCTTCATTCCTCCTGTACTGATTAAGGGGATGAGTCAGTTCAGGGAAAGCAGGACCTGGCACCTGGCGAGTCTTCCTTAGAGACGGGGAATATTATTATTAATAGTGTTTCTATGAAGGTGTTTATTGGGTGCCCATGTGCCAGGCACAGTGCAGGCATGGGGAGGGGTGGGCACAGTGGGAGCACAGCCTGGTGCCTCCTCTCATGGGCTCCCTCAACCCAGTGGGGACTGGGGTGTCCCTATATGCAGTCACCCCTGGTGACTGAGACCCATCAGGAGGGAAGGTAGGAGAGGCTGGGAGCAATTCAGTGCCAGCTCACCTACTCCCAAGGCCGCCTTGGCCTGTGGGTTCTCCTCAAGAGAAGGGTAGGCACAGGTGAGCTGGATTATTCTAGAAGCAGGACAACATGTTCCTGGACACCCAGTCTCACAGCCGCCCTGGGGGGCAGTAAGGCAGGGCTCACCATCCCAGCATGCTGAGGACACGGAGCTCAGGTGGGGAGGGAACTGGCCTGGTCCCGCGGGGCCGAGAGCATCCAGCCAGGCTTCTCGCTCTATCCAGGGCTCTGTGGACTCAACCCCGCAGGCTCCAGAGACCTTAGGGGTGCTTTCTGCTCAGAGCCCTTGTCAGGGAGGCCAATATGGTCCTGCTTCTTCAGGCTGAGCTGGCCCAAGTGACCTCCCCTGGACCCGCTGAGCCCCTCACTCTGCTCAGAGTCCCCTGGGGAGGGCTGCACCCACATGGGAGGGAGCCAGGCTGGGGATGGTGCCTTGGGCACCCGGGCCAGGCCTGGCAGTGGGTGGCCAGCAGCAGTGGGGGCCCAGGGGAAGGAGACTGGCCTTCGCTGAGCAATGAAAGGTGTCTGGCCCAGGCCAAGTGCACCACCAGAGTCACCTCACTTGATCTTGTTCCCAGGAGGAGACTGAGGCTCAGCCATGGGGAGTGGTTTGCGCACATCCCACAGCTGGCAAGGGATTAAAATTTGGGCTTTAAACCCAGGTCTACCTGCTTCCAGAGTTGGTGCCCTTCCCCATGCTGGGTGAGCCCATCAACAGGTCTGAGGCAGGAGTGTGGACCAGACGGAATGGTGATGTTACAGTAATAGTAACAGTAGTAATAAGTGATGGTAAAGCAATTTATCCTGGGGGACACTGAGGTACAGAGAGGTTAAGTAATGTGCTCAAGATCACTCAATAAGTAGTTGCCAGAGCTGGGTTTGAGCCCAGCAGTCTGGCTCCAAAGTCCACTTTTAACACCACACTGTCTAGTGGAACCAGACTGGGTTCTATAGCTGGGGAGGCTGATCAGGAAGTCCCATGGCCTGGCCTGACCTGGGAGCATCCCTGGATCCAGACTGTGTGGGGACAGGGAGCCAGGGTGGTCAGGAGTCACTGCCTGGCTGTTCTCTACACCAGCGTAGGGCCAGAGTTTATGATCTCACACATTCTATGCCCTGTGGCCACCTCCCCACAGGCAGCCTCTGTCCCCCATCTCAGCTGCCTCTCAGCTGCAGGGGGATCTGGGAGGCTGAGGAAACCAGAAATTACCCCAGAAAAAATCTGCCTTTCCTAAAAGTATATGTTCTGATGGCCACTAGTTGGTCCAGAAGCCCCTGGTGGAGGTGGCATATGGTGGTGGTGGTGGGGGGTGGCAAGAGAGGTTTCTGTGTTCAGAGGAATTGGGGAAACATTTCCTATTCTGGCCATTCCCTCCACTTCTTCACCCCATTCATAAAGCCCATTAGCATTTTAAAGGCTGGGAGAAACCCATCTGTGCAGAGTGTAGTCAGTTATTTAACCCAATGTTTCCCACACTCACTGATTCACCCCTTCACTGATTAACCCCTCTGAGAGAGCTAGTCCAGCCTTGGGGAGCACCATGGGACACGCTGGCCCGGCGTTGGGTCCCAGCTGTGTTCTGGGAGACAGCTCAGCAGCTGCCCACAGCCACCCTCAGCTCCCCCCTTCAGGGCATCTGTACAAGCCTTTGGCCCCTCTGCTTCAAACTCCTCTGATCCCTAAAACAATCGGGCCTCGGGCTGGAAGCTGCCTGTCCTTGTTGCTCCTCCGGTTGGGCCTTGGTGGGCCCGATCTGAGGCTGGAGGAGGGACAGGTGAGACAGGGACACAGGACTGGGCTTCCCCCAGATTTGAGTCACTCTGGGAAGAGAGGGGTGCTGGTGGGCAAGGCCCCACAGTCGGGTCTGAGCAGATGGCTGAGGGGATTATTAAAATCCAGCTTTGTTCTTATTAGAGGCCGGGCCTGAAAGAGGAGGAGGCAGCTGGAGGCGGGATGGGGCTGTGGGATGTGGGATTGGAGGGGGGAGTACGCCCAAGTGACGATGCAGGGCCATTGTCCTCACTTTGGAGCAGATTTTCTGCCACAACCAGGACGTGAAGAGCAACTTAAACAGGGATAGGCTGCCTCCCTGGAGGCTAGGGCGCTCCCTCCACCAGGCCCAGCCTGAACTGCCCGCTTCTGACCTTGGGAAAGCGCCAGGCAGTAAGATAAGCTGCCTGACATCTTGAGGAGCAGGGGGCACTGAGGCGCCACAAGGGAGTAGCTTTTCCAGGGACCTGCCTGGGGGTGGTGGGTGATCAATGGTGATGATGGTGATGGTGATGGTGATGGTGGTGGGGATTATAGTGATGATGGTGATGGTGATGGTGGTAATGATGATGGTGTTAATGGTGATGCTGATGGTGATGGTGATGGGAGTTAAGTGATGATGGTGATGGTAGTGATGGTGATCATGGTGGTGATAGTCGTAATAATGGTGATGAATATGAGGGTGGTGGCTGCTCTTTACTGAGCACTTACTTTGTGCACAGAGAGGTTAAGTCAGCTGCTCTAGGACTCAAAGGTGGACATGAATCCAGGCTCTGCAGAGCTCCCATGCTAAGCCAGGAATCAGCAAACTTTCTCTGCTGAGGGCCAGATAATGAATATTTTCAGCTTTGTGGACCACACAGTCTCTATGGTAACGACTCAACTCTGCAGTTGTAGCGTGAAAGCAACCATACACAGCACCTAAAGAAACGAGCATGCCTGTGTTCACTGAAACCTATTCACAACAGGCCACAGTTTGCCAGCCCTGCTCTGAACCACGGTACGGTACACGGGTCTCTAATTTTGAGCTTCACATGGTCCTCCTTGGCTGGCGGCCTACTCCAGACCCTGCTCTCACACACTGGGCTATCCAGCACGCCAAACCCATCGCAGCCACGGCGATCTGCTACAGCCCAGAGCTCGTTTACTTGCTGCTTTACTTCTCCACTCAGACAGCCCATGATTATTATTAGAAAGTTTTCAATTACAAATATTACATCATTATAATATAATTACACTTGCTCTATGCTAAAGATTATATTCATTATAATATTATTATGGTTATAGTATAAATTATTATAACAAATATTTAAAAATTATTAATATTAAAAAAGGGAGACTTTGGGGTCAAAGCTAGGTTATAATCACAGCCCAAGGATTTATCAGCTGGAGATTTTGTGTTAGTGACTTAACCTCTCTGAGTCTCAATTTCCCCTTCTGTAAAATGGGTATGATGGTCCCTATCCTGCCTCTCTCTGGGGACTACCATAAAGAGAGAATGAAATGTAAGCCCTTCAAGGCCCAGTGTTTGGCTTCCGTACCCAAGGGCTCCACTGAAAGGTAGCATTTATTATTGCAGGCATGTTTGTTGAGAGCCTGAGTGATAGTGTGAATGAGGTAAGGCCTTTTGGGTGGGTTTGCCCCAATCCTAACTTGGCCCTGCCTGTGCCTCTCCCGCTAACAGGTGAACCTGTACTCAGACCCGCCCAAGCCCAGCCACAGCATCCACACAGGCATGATGTCCCAGGGGACCAAGGTCTTGTCCTTCACCATCCCACAGCCCCATTCTGTGGAGCGGTGGCCGGGGCCTGCTGAGGTCCCACAGGCATCTGAGGCCTCAGGTGAGTCTAGGAGAGGAGACATGGCCAGAGGGCTCCTTCTGCATGTGGTTCTAATCTGGGGGCACTTGGTTCACCCCAGGGTGGTACTGGTTTCAGGCCAGGGGAGGGAGGGATGTGAGACCCCTCTCTGGACCCTTTGACTTGAAGAGGTTAAATGGAGATGTGGAGAGTACCCTGCTTTAAGCCAACAGCCTGGGGGACCCCCTCCCTCTGCCCTCACTTAGCAGTTGGTTGATCTTGGGCGAGTGGCATGGCAAAGAGCAGTGTCACCGTGGAGCCCACATGGGGGCCAGGCCCTGTCCTCAGCCTTTCAGCACATGACCCCCATTGATCCCCAGTTCATCTCCATGGCTGGGGGCACGCTGGTGTTACCCCATTCACAGTTAGAGAGGCAAGGCTGGGAGAGGGGAGCACATGCTGCAGGCCACACTGCTGCACGGGAGAGGGTTGGGATTGGAACCCGCGTCCTTCTGAGTTAGAGCCACACCATTGCCTGGGAGCCCCGGGGCCTGGCCGGGCTCCAGCTGTGTGATCCGGGCCAGATCCAGCCCTTGTTGTCTCCTGTAAATGGGGCCAGCACTGCCCAGCCCACTTCTATGGGCCTGGGTGAAGATGGCACGATCGTGAGATGCCTGAGCTGTATGTAGCTCGATGATGGAGACAGTGGTTTTGAGGTGTGGCTTCAGTGTCACCACACCAGGAAGGACTGTTTTTGGCTCCAGTGTTGAGTGGTTGCATATTCCAGGGTGGTCGTCAGCTCGAGGAGACCTGAACCCCTCCTCACCCTCCAGTGCACCCACCCCAGGGTGTCTTCCAGAGAACCACCTGGGCATCCCCCAGGACCAGCCCTCAGCAGACCCGACCCAGGCACTGTCTTCTCAGGCAAGGCGGTTCCTGGCCAAGGTGAGTGGAACCCCAGCTTCGCCAGGTGGGACATGAATCACCCGGAGAAAGCAGAGCCTCTGCCTGCTTAGATGAGAACTCAGTGAGGCTCACTTGTCCCTCCCCTGCCAGAGTTAACGTGCTCATGTCAAACATGTGAGCCTCTCCCTTGGTTTTAGAGGCCACATGGCTCCAGCCTCCTCCTTGTCACCCAGCACTAGGGTTAACTCCCTTTTGGGCATTGTGTCTCATCAAAGTCCTTCCTGTTGTGCTTGAAAATGTCTCCTGGCTCGCCCCCAGGGGACACTGTCAGCTCTCAGGGTTCTGGAAGTGTATAGAATTTCTATTGGATCTTTCCTCTTCAGGCCAAATCACCCCACTTTCTTAGTTCACTTCAGTACAGAAACCAATTCTCAGTCACCTCTCAAAGGGCCTTTATATTTTCATCGGGCATCCAAATAACGGTGGATTGTTTGCAGGTCTGTTTATAGCTACACACTTGGCCTTATTCCAAAAGGGACTTAGAAAATACATGCATTATAACTACATTATACAAACGGAAGTGAGGAAACTGGGGCAAAGAGGAAGTAAGGATAGAAAAAAAAATAACTATTCTGCTGGATCCTGAACACTGCCAAATTCATGTTCAGCTTTGAGCTTCCTAGTTGTCAATGCAAAAAGGGAAATGAAGTAGTTACATACATCACCATGTTCAGAAAACGAATTCCTTCAAAGAAACACCAGCATTTTTTTTTTATAACAGCTTTATTGGGATGTAATTCACTTATTTAAAGTCAATGCTTCAGTGAATTTTACTGTGTTCACAGTCATGCCCTATCACCACAATCAATTTTAGAACATGGTCTTCATTAGCCACTTCCCCCAGCCCCTGGTGGTGGTTCATCTATTATCTGTCTCTTTGGGTTTGCCCCCTGGACATTTCATATAATAGTTGTCCTTTGGGGTCTGGCTTCTTTCACTTAGCATGATGTTTTCAGGCTCATCCCTACTGTAATAGCATGAATGTCACCACCACTCTGAGTCCTGTAACTGGAGAGATGCTTCTCCTTGTTCTGTGTGTTGTAAAGTGAAGCAAAGCCAAGGCCATCACACTGAACAGGAGCCAGGACACCAGCTGACCCCTCATGGTCCAGAGCCTTACTGTCTGATACAGGAGCCCTAGTCACGTGGCTGAGTGCTTGACCCATGGCCAGTCCAAACTGAGGTGTTCTGTAAGTGGAAAACACAGACTGGATTTCAAGGACTCCGTGTGACAAAAAGAATATAAAATATCTCACTGATAATTTTTTTGTATTGATTACATGTTGAAATAGGAGTTGAGGTTTATAAAATATATTATTGAAATGAATTCACCTGTTTCTACATTTTTAATATGGCATCTAGAAAATTTGAAATTAGATACATGGCTTTCATTATATTTTTATTTTATGTTATGTAGATTTTATAATGTAATTATATTATATAAATATTTATGTTACTTTTCAACACCGATCTAGATAGAGCTTTCCCAGAAATGATCCCTGAATCATCTGTGGCCTTTTTTCCTAATTAAAATATTTGTTGTAAAGATAATAGATGCGCATGGTGAAGACCCTCACATAGTACACAGCTGTGTTCAGTGAAAAGTCTTCCTCCTGCCCCTGCCCTTCTGTTCATGCAAAAACATTCACAGGTACCCATGCATTTATAGAAATGGACACACAAGTATACAGTATCTTGACTTTTTTAATGTCCCAAATTTGAATATTTATTTCTGGGTAGGCAATAATTCACTTTGTTCAAAGTTTGAAGGAAACATCCCATCCCTGCCCTTCCACCACCCAGTTCTCTCCAGAAGCAATTAATGTTTTAGTGTCTTGCATCCTTCCAGAGACAATTTATCATATACAAGCAGTCGTATTTATAGGTTTCCTTTTTTATTCTCCACATATTTTATACAGATGGTTACATACTAGAAACACTGTCCTGGTCCTGGAGGCATTTATGCATCAGAACGTACAAGTGTCTTCCTCTTTTTGCTGTGTGCATACTATTCCACAGACAGGCATTAAGCTGTTTCCCCCCCCC